GGAATGGGGCAGGGCCATGGGCAGCTTGTTGAACCAGCACTTGCAGGCAGTGTCCTGTCCCTGCTGTCCTGTCTGGATCTCCTCTGGGGTGCTGCTGCTTCAGGCTTCCAAAGCAGCCGGCAGCTCAAGTGGAGAGGTTTCCCCCAGTTTCCTGACTGGGTCTGCTGGGGGATGGCACATCCACCTCAGCTCAGGGCATCAGCCCTCCTAGGAGACCCCACAAGGAGAGCTGCTGCCCTGAAATATGACCTCTGCAGCCCCTGTAGTACCCAGGGAGCAGCCCTGTCCCTGGGCCTTGCTGAGGCAGCCTCCCAAAGGGGGATGGGGCACTTGTCACTTGTGTCACAGGAGCTGAAACATGTTGCAATGGTGTCCTCTGTGCCTCCCCAGTGACCTTGTGGGGCAGGGGACAGCCCTGAGGTGACTGGCCTATGTGGAGGAAAAAAACCTATGGCTTGAGCACAGGGTCTAGCTTTCTGAGCTCAGGCTGCAGCAAGCTGTGAGTCTCCTGCGTGTTGCGAGGCGGGAACATCATCAGAGTTTGGTAGCATGGAGCTGTCTGCTCGTCACTGCCCTTGGGACAGCTTTCAGGCTTTTCTGGGCAAGGCTTGGTGCCCAAGGCCTGGGTTTAGGACCGTGGTGCTGCAGTGCTTTACTGCTGGAGTGGCCTTGGGTGGGGGACAGTCCCAAGGGAAGGGAAGTGTGAGGCTTTAAGCAAATTCTTAGTTCCTGCTGGGTGAAGTCTTCCACACCAAGCTGCCCCGTGAGCCACCATGAAGTCCTAGAGCTTGACATTAAAATGTCCTGTGGCTTTGTGCAGAGCCTGGGCTGCTCCCTCAAGTAGGCGAGATCTCTGGCTCCCAGTGGCTATGTGAACTCAATTTTGGTAACTAAACTGTACCCTAATCTTGTTGGTGTTGATCGAAGCCTCTCCTGTGCTGAGATGCTGTCCCAGGCTTGGCAGAGGGCTCCTCTGTGTTACACTGTGTGTAACCTGCCCTGTGCTGAATGGCCTCAGGTAGAGGGTGACCCCGGTGTGGCTGTGTACTGTGAGAAATCCCCCTCTGACTGTAGTGTAGACTGCAGCTGCCTTTTGAGACCAGCTGATCCGGGTCAACAGACACAGCTGTTGCTGAGGCAACTTTGGGGGGTGCCCCTGGGAGATGGAATTGACCCTCTGAAAAGAGGAAGGATCCCCCTGAGTGCAGCTGCAGCCCCTGCATGCAGCATAACCCTGCATCAGAACCAGGCTGTGTCCTGTGTGATCCTATGGGAGAGGAGTAGGTGGGTTCTGAGTAATGCTGGGGCTGTCAGTGGCAAGCTGAGCCTTAGCAGTCTGCCGGCATGCAGGACCAACTTGTAACGGCCATGGCTCCCCACACTGAGGAGAGAAACTCATAGGTGAGCGTAGAGAATGTTTTCCTGGAGCTTGGCTGGAAATGAGTGGTGCAGGAATGATGCTGGCTGGCAAGAAAGCTGCAAAATGCGAGGCTCTGGGGTGAGTGGGAGGCTCAAGATAAAAGCTGCTGAGCTGTCTCGGCACTGGCTTATTTCAGGTGCAGGTGTGGAGCCTGCTGCTGTGCTGCCCTTGGCAGTGCCTTGGCAGCCTCCCTCTGGCTGCTGCCGGTCCTCCTGGGAGCGTTGCTGTGCCCGTAACCTCCTGTCTTAACCTGCCTGGATGTGACTATGGAAAAGCCTTTCAGCTCCCAGCTGCCTGAGGAAGGAGGCAGGCAGGGAGCGAGGCCTTGGGTTCTGTCTCCCTGCAAAAGCTGCTTCCCTGCTGGTGGCCGTGCTGTGCCGGGGAAGGGGTGGTGCTGGCAGCAGCTCCCTCTCTGCCTCCACCGGTTCCTGCCCCGGGTGCTGTGTCAGCCTAACACCTGTGCTCTGCCTCCTTCCAGGGTCTGGCCGTGTCACCTTTAACAACCAGCGCAGCTATCTGAAGGCAGTGACTGCTGCGTTTGTGGAAATCAAAACTACCAAGTTTACTAAAAAGGTGAGGGGAGCTGGCGAGGCAGTGCGGGGAGCTGAGGCTGTGTGTGGTGGGTGGCTCAGCTGCCTGCGTGGGCCTGGCCTGCATCCCTGTGGGAGCAGAGGGAGACAGCAAATTACTGCTCCACTGGCTGTGGGGGGTGCTGCTGGTGGGTGTGGGGTACCCAGGGAGTGGACAGTCACCCCCAGCACTGCTCCCACTGTCTGGCTTCTCCTGCAGGTTCAGATTGACCCGTACCTGGAGGACTCAATGTGCCAGGTCTGCAGTGCCCAACCTGGCCCTTTCTTCTGCAGAGACCAGGTAAGGAGTTCCCTTGCCAGCTGCGCCTGCCCCTGAGCTGTTGTGATTGGGGGGCATTCCTCAAGAAGGAGCAGGCTCTGCTGCAGCATTCCCTTTGGGAATGCCTGCTGTCCCTTGCCAGGTGGGAGGATGAAGCCTTCATGTAGGAGCCCCCCGGTGGGCTCTTGTTCTGGAGGAGGTGTGGTCCTCCTGGGGGGCAGCTCCAGTGCTCACTGCCCCTGGCCGGGGATGCCATGGCCCTGCTGGTGCTGTGCCAGAGTGCCGGGGCCTGCTGTGGGTGGTGCACTGACCCCCAGGGGAGGCTGGAAGCTGGGAGTGCACTTGCCCCCTAGGGTCTTAGGGCTGCCCCAAATGCTGTGGGGGCTCTGGCTGTGGGTGAAGCAGCTCTGTGAGGGTCCATCAGCTTCCTGCAGAGCCTGGCTGGGAGGGGAGCCCCTGATAGTAGCTGGAGTGTGGTGTGTGCTTGGTGGCTGCCCCTTCCCTGCCCAGGGGTCGGGCAGAGGTGCCGCAGCCCCTGCCTGCACAGCCAGCACCCATGCCCCAATACTTTTCCAATGCCATTTAAAAAGAGGCCAGGCTGGAAGCTGGGCACAAGGCGCCCTTTGGCAGTGTTGCTGCAATTACCTCCCTCTGCGTTCGAGCTGTGGGCTGGAAAACCACAGAGGGAGGGGGAATCCTGCTTCTCACTGCCAGCTTGCCTTGCTCTGAAAACCCCGCCCCATGGTGTCGCCCCCCCCTGCTCTCCCCCCAGATCTGCTTCAAGTACTTCTGTCGCTCCTGCTGGCACTGGCAGCACTCCATGGAGGGCCTGCGTCACCACCGCCCGCTGATGCGCAACCAGAAGAACAGAGACTCCAGCTAAAGAGGCTGCCAGGCTCGGGGGCCGCCACCGCGGGTGCAGGAGAACGTCCCTTTTGTTAACCTGCCAAGTGGAGAGCGCAGGAGCGTGCCTGCTGGTGCCAGACCCAGGCTGGGAACGTGCGTCCTGAGGACTAATGGGGAAAACAACAAAAAAGAAAAACCAACAAAAAAAAAATCTTACATTCACGTTTGCACTTGCTGGTCTTTTTGTTTCTGCACTAATGCACAGTGAGTTCTGTCGGGTTTTGTTTGGGGGTTTTTTGAGGGGGGGAGCGCCCCTCAAGTGAATTCTGCAGTTCCCAGACTTTGGTTCCTAGTTTGCTGATGAGAAGCAAAAAAAAAAAAAGATCTCTATAATAAAATGGGCCACGTGTTGCGAAGGTGTTTACGCAGATGCCTTCAACTAGGATTTTTATTTATTAAAGGCGCTTTTTTACATTCCTTGCAATACGGATGGTAATAATGCAGGTCTCATTGGCTCCATTGTTTTGCAGTCGCCATACAGTGCCTTTCCATTCATTTAACCCCCACCTGAACGGCATAAACTGGGTGTTCAGCTGGCGTTTTTTACTGTAACAACACGGAGACTTTGCTCTTCATTTAAAACCAAATCATATTTCATATTTTACGCTCGAGGGTTTTTACCAGTTCCTTTTTACACTCTTAAAAACAGTTTTTAAGTCGTTTGAAATGAGAGATTTTTTCTTTCCTGGCAGCTTTTAACATTATTGCAATTTTGTGTCTGGGGGCTGCTGGCGGAAAGTTGTAAATCGAGGTGTTTGCAACAGAACAGGATGGGCTTTTTTTGGATCTGAAACCGGACCGGATAACCGATCTCTGAGCTGCTGTACATAGTTTTAAATAGTTTGTTGCACTTTTTTAAGTTGCACTTACAGGGGGTTGATCGAGGTTTTTAATCGCACCGAGTCACAGGACTTAACTTTTCTTTTGTAACTCGCTAAAAAAGGGCTGCGTGTGGTGGGCGGAGGGAGGTTCCTGGGAGCCCTTTCTCCTAGAGGGGACAAGTACTCTTTTCCTTTCCTTTACGAAACATGCGGAGTGATGGTGCAGTCGACTGAAATGCTGCTGCTGGGATTTGAGAACCTTTATTATTATATATAATATTTTTTTTTACATTCCCCTCTAGCGGAAGCTGTGTGCCAAAGAACCAGTGTCATAATTTCTCCCTCTTTTTTTTTCCTTTTTGTTGTTTGTTTCAATTTTTTGGTTGGTTTTGTTTTTCTTTTC